TTAATTATTGTGTATAACAATAATTATATGAATCGAATGTTTGTACGTGAAGAAAATTCATGTACATCCACAATATGATCCTGAACTCATATACAATGATATTGGATTACTTGAACTGGAGAAAAGTGTAAAGTTCTCAGTTAACATCTATCCTACTTGCTTATACACCAATATTGAGGATCCACCTGCAAATTCCCAACTGTATATAACAGGTTGGGCATCTACGAAAATCTTTGGTAATTCAACATAAATATTACAGATTTAATATTAATTATATGAATAACGCTGTATTAAAGATATTATTTGTTGAGCAGATCGTTCGGATGTATTACTGAAAGCTGCACAGAGAATTGTGCCACTAAATGTTTGTAATAGGACATTACTAAGAGTGGATGCAGAAAGGAGTGTACAACAAACCCAGCTATGTTCCGACGCTTTAAAATCAGAGAAAAGTCCTTGTTATGGCGATGCAGGTGGACCTTTAAGTATAGTAGTAGATCCTACTTGGAGAATATATCGCGTAATAGGTGTAATATCATCGGGTGTAAGCTGTGGTCTTATACCACCAGATATAAATACTCGTGTAGGCGCATATTTAGACTTCATAGAGAATATTGTTTGGCCAAATTTAAAATAAATTCAAATTGACTTCATCGAATTTTTTTAATTAAAACTGTATATGATAATAATATAAATACATTTTTATAAAATATAGAAGATTTAAACAATGCTATAATAAATAAAATTAATAATAAATTAATACAAGCATACATCCTAAGCATTCCTTCCCAAGAAAAAACAAAAAAGGTTGCTGAACATCTAAAGCAATGAGATTTTTTAAAACTCAAATGATCAGGTAACATATAACATTATAAGAAGTCTGGTAAGAAGTCCGTGCAACAAGCATTTAATCGCTAAGCAAGTGGGCAAAAAATAAATCATAAAATTATATATATTATATATATATATATAATTATATATATGGTGGTTTGCTACTATACTTTCGAATCTGTCAAGGATTTCATCTATATTGGCATTGGAGATCAGACTAAGAATCACCTTTGCTAATAGATGCAACTGTGGGATCAATAGGCATTTGGAATGTATAGCTCTCTCTTGACAAACAAAACTTACGCTTTAAGTACGCTCTAGGTCGATCATCCTATCTGTGCTTCTGTGTTTCGCAGAAGCATAGATGTTATCACAGAATGATGAAGCTTTCGAGAGAAGCTTCCGAGGAGGTTTTCGAGACAAAAGTTCTTCGTAAGATGTTTGGTCTTCTACGAGTACCCGATGAGTACCATGTCCGAGATAACCACGAGCTGTACGTGCTTTATCACGACATTGATACAATCGAGCAAATTAACATCCAACAGCTTCGCTAGCTGGGTCATGTTGTGAGAATGGATGAAGATGCTTTAGTGAAGAAGGTATTAGAAGCGATAGTTTGAGGAAGAAGGCGTGAAAAAAGACCGTGTGGTTCTAAGAACGGCGGGGGGTTTATACCGGAGCCATTCATCGCCAGCGACAACCAAGTGCCGTTCAACGCCTCCGAAAAGGGCTTCACAAGCAGGTCCCAGTGGATCGCAACAAAAACAACATATACCGTGAAGAGTGATCAAGTTAAAGAAGCACTGGAGAGAGCGCGCACGTAACAGAGGAACCTTTAGAGACATGCTGCGTCAGGTCGAAACTCGTTAACGCGTTGATAGGATCATTTAAGCAAGCAAGTATTGCCAAAGATAATAAAATAACATTTATAAACTCTTAAATGTATGCAAAAATTTTATTTTTCAATTTTCAAGTTTTCATTAAAATATATTAAATTAATATAAATATATAAATTAATAAATTATTTTAATTAAAAATAAATTAAATTTCTTAGTCTAATAATTAAGCTACATAAATTATAGTTAAAAGTATTTACAAAATGTTTTAAATTAAGTTGAATAAATATTAATATTTTGTGATTTAATAAATTACATGATGATTTTATAAATATTATATAACCCAATATATATATATGAACAAAAAATTTTAAAAAGAAAATTGCATTGCTAATGGTTTTGTCAGATATTCTATTACTAGCTTTAAATAATATAGGGGAATGAATGAATGAATACTTTTCTAATAAGATATCGCAGATAAAAACCATATTTTCATTTAAGGCAGTTCCCATCAAGCCATTTTTCATTGTAGCTGTTCCCATTATAAACTGCACTCATGAACTGCTCTGATCACCGCCGCTGTACATAACGCCTTAAGGTATGCTATCATTTACAATATTTTGCGTGAAATACATTTTCGCCAGAAAGAACTGCGCTGCCATCCAATGGACACAATTTCAAATAAATATTTTTGAATTCCAATGACTCAACGATAATGTAGTCCAGGTAGATGCGTGGTGAGGCGAGTATACGCCATGTTAAAGGATTTAAGATATTTGTTTGATATTCCAAAAACACAGTAGCAAATGCTGGATCACGCAAATCTTTACCTGGCACCAAAGCACTATACTCGAATCCTGGCTCGTAGTACATTGGCTTGTGGGTGAATTTAATTCGCTCTGTTGTACGCTTACTGCTGTTGCTGTGCAAACGTAAAAATAATGTACCGATTTCGCCGCCATGGTTCAAAGACACATCGCTGCCAGAGACACGTACGGTGACTTTGTAGTGAGCGCCTAAAATATGCAACAAAAAATATTGTTAGTATTGTTAAGCGAGAAAAAGTTTATATATATCGATATTTATATCTTTAATATTTAAAGATATCAATTAATAAAATATTATAATTACACCAAAAACTAAATTATCGCTTATCGCTTCTAACCAGACTACTAGAAAAATATGTTATATGGCACTTAAAACCAATGAGTAATAAGAGATTTCCGAAACAGAAGCGGTGCTGTGGTATATATAATCAGAGATTGTACTCAAACAAACAAGGTACCAAATTTTATTATAAAAAAGAGAGAGGCAGAGAGGGAAAGTTGGACGGACAGCCGGAGATGGGGAGAGGGAGAAAGACAAATAAAGAGAGAGACACTCTTTCTCTTTATTAAGAGAAGTAATTAAAAGAGTAAAACAACAGCAACCAGGACCCGGTATTCCAAGTCTGCTACGGAACAAAGTAAAAACACTTAAACGGGCACTAACTATACCTAGACAAGTAAGAGAACTGTCTGTTTGAAATAGCTTACTTCGTATGAAAAATTAAAATTTGCAACGAACAACATTACATGATTAAGAGAGATTCTTTTCAATCTCGCTCAATTTCAACCGCTCAACTCTTAGGAGCGACTGTCGAACACAGTTCAAACTGTGTTTTAATTATATTCGCACCAAAAACCTTAACGATCTTTTAATATTTTTAGCAACGATATCCATCGTATGAATGGACAAGTAGAAGTCCAATAACTGAAACCCCCGCGGGAACAGGAATAGATACCCAAGGTAAGACATGCCTGTCGTTAGAGGCATCTAAAATCTAGTATGCATCATTCGATACTGTTTGGAGTAAAAGTAATAGTGAGTTTCACTTGTGGTACCTGACCGAAGGTATAAATTTGGCACCAGGGGAGTTAGGACCCACAATTTCGGCTGACCTGATCATTTAAATGAATGGGTCGCTTAAATGGAAGTATCGTGATAGCTGTGGTTAAAATCCAAAATTTAATAATTTTAAATTTCTGTCTAATAACTGAATTGAACGCACTAGTTCAATTGAATTCACTCTGTACAATTTTGTAATTTCCTTCGTGACTTTACTTATAAAGAATAATAAAAAATATTCATTAACAATAATAAATACTTACGGCAAAATGGTTTGCTATCTCCAGTCATCAAGTATAAAACTGGTGGCTTATTGGACTTCACAAAACTAGCTCCCCTAATCAAGTGATGTTTGTAATCATCAAAACTATGGTATCCCATACGCATGCAAACATGATCTGTAGCATCACAAGAGGAACATTTACCCTCTTTAAAAGCCTATAAAATAATTACAATAAATAAGATTAAACAATTGTAGAAATATGAAATCATTTATTGTATAATATACGAGTATAGTAAAAATTGTAAGTAAATGTTTACCTCAAATGATTCACAGGTGACGCCCATAAATGGACACTTCGTGAGAATACTTTCAGTAAAATATTGATAACTGCGTATATGATTGCAACCTAAAAACTCTTGCATACTCTCCATAAGTGTACTACGACGATTCTTCATATAATCCTGTAATCTAATATCACAGCCTGGATTATCGAAACCGTCATTTGGATAAAAATCTACATGACCAATACGTTCATGTATGCCCAAACCACCTTTCATCAAGGGATTTGCATCAGTGTGTATGATATCAACGAAATGAGCATCAGAACGATCCAATCGTACAATGGGATCAGTATCGGTAAACAATGGAGCAGCTGGATCCAGTCCTGTAATACGACCAAGCTTAAGACCAAAATCACGATGCAAGGTATAACCAGCATAACCTGCTAAGTGTGCGCCTAATGAGTGACCAATAAAGTGTACATTGTTAATGTTGCTTAAACGAAGTTCCTCCTTTAAAGAGAAATAGAGAATACATTTATTATTATTATGGTAAGTTTTAACAATAACAATAATTATAGTTATAGTTTTGAAAATAGTGAGAATAATAGCAATATTTATTTAATAATTTTTTTTAAAAATTTTTGTCTTAACCTATTACTTGACGGTGCTAGAAGAAGGCGGAATTTCTTGAAGCCTAATTAAGAAAAAAATAATTTTTTTTTGCCTATCCGCTCAATATAAGCTACACACACTGGTGCGTTTTCGCACCATTGTCAGGTAATGGGTTAAACTTAAGATATATATAATCTATACTTACATATATCATATGTATTACATGCGCCGTTATAGCACCCACTAAACGTATATTAGCAACTGCTTGCACATATGGTGGACTTGAACCACCACCCCAATCGATCAAAACTACAGCAGCATTGCCCTCTTTTTCTTTTGTAAGTAAAGCTTTTCCCATGTCTAACAACTAAGAAGAAATAAAGATGATCATTAAATAAAAAAATTTTAGAAAAAACAATCTTTAATAAACCTACCCATTGCATTTGTCCCATTTCTAAATAACCATGCGACAGAAAATATATCTTCCCTTTTGGGTTTATACCCATATGTAGTACCGCTTCTGGATCATTCAAATCAATATACTTCGGATTTTCCATAGATCTTTTCGTATAAACTGTATAGTGTGGTTCGATTTGTGAAGGCTTTTGTGGGTGTACATTGATTTGTCGAGTATTTGTAGTCCACGGTCCATTTAATGGAAAGCAACCATAAACTCCATAACATTTCACTTCATTGATGTCTAAAAAAAATATGGTAGAATATGGTAGAAAATTAATGAAATTTAGGGTAGAGTAAAAAATAATAAAAAAAAAAATAAAAAATCATAAATTTAAATTAATAAGCTTTAATTTTATTTAGGGAAAGCCTGATGCCGGCTCAATAATAAAAATGACCGATTTTTTAGATTAAATAGCTTTGAATTCAGATTATTTACTTGTTTCTTCACTGTATATACTCCTAATTCTACCACACTACAAAAATCTTTTTAATGCACACCGACTACTACAGATTTTGTAAAATAC